GGCTGGAAGAGGACAAGAGCAGAGGTAGGCCGGGTGGCGGGGCGTGGCAGCAAGGGGGCAGGGCCACGATTCGTAAACCATTTCACTAAAAAGCACCAAAGGGACACAGGGGACGGGCCGCCCCAGAAATGCGGGCGCCGGAGCGTTTGTCTAGCTGTGTCTGTCCAGAGCCACGGACGTGGACACGCCCCCTCGACACCAAGCCCCGCCCCCCGTGCGGGTCCCAGGTTACACACACACATTTAGCGTGGCACCGCTGTGCACACACGTCCTTCCGGGGTTTCACTAAAAAGCACCAAAGGGACACAGGGGACGGGCCGCCCCAGAAATGCGGGCGCCGGAGCGTTTGTCTAGCTGTGTCTGTCCAGAGCCACGGACGTGGACACGCCCCCTCGACACCAAGCCCCGCCCCCCGTGCGGGTCCCAGGTTACACACACACATTTAGCGTGGCACCGCTGTGCACACACGTCCTTCCGGGGTTCGCCAACACAGACAGACCATTTCCTGCCCCTGTGTATTTAGCTGGCTGGTCCCCCGGCTTTGTTTGGGATTCTCTGGGTTGTTTCATAAGAACATAACATAAGAACGGCCGTACCGGGTCAGACCAAAGGTCCTTCTAGCCCAGTATCCTGTCTGCCCACAGTGGCCAGCACCAGGTGCCCCAGTCATTTGACCTGGTCATTTGATTCAGAGCCGTGAGCCACCGGGGAAAAGCTTTTCAAGGGACATCGAGTCTGGCTAAGAAAAGGGGGGGTGTAAATGGGTGGGAATTTTCCCGGTGGCTGGAGCGGTGTAACTCTGCGCGCTGTGAAACGGGCGCGGGGTAGCGTTTGCTGCCACCCACAGTGGAAGGGCTGAGCGTGTTTTCTCTTTGTGTTTTCTTTGTGAAGAGCAAATGGTTTCCGAAGCCACCACCAACAACCGGAGCCTGGAAGGTAAATTCATTTCCTCTCTCGCTCGGGCAGACGTCAGTAGCTAAGTTGGGGGCCTGGGTACAGCCGCCGAGGAAAAATCGTGGGTCTCCCCTGTTCTGTTGCACCGGGGGGGGATTACTGGGTGTTCTCCGGGTGACTGGAGATGTGATCACCCTTCCTCCGGGGGAAACGCACGAGGACCCGGCACCATGCAAACGCCACCTACAGCCTGGTGATGTTTAACCCATTAAAGGGGGTGCAGGTGTGGGGGGGGCTATTCCCGCCCCACTGGGCTGGGGCGGGCCCCACAGTGGCTGAGGCCCGGCTGGAGCCCCCCACCCCCACACCCCTGGCAGGCCTGGTCTGCTCTGGTTGTCTGGAACAGCCTGTGCTTGCAACATGCCTGGGCCCACGGCGGGATCGGAGCTGCCCCCGGCCGGCAGGGAGCTGCTCTCACCTCCGCCAGTTAGCGGCTCACCTTTCCCATCCCTCGGATGGACAGTGTTTCCTGGCCGCCTGGAAGGGCCAAGAGCTTAGAGAGCAGAGCTTAGGAGTTGGAGGAGGGATTTGAGGGCTGCTGGGTTCTACTCAGGCCTCGCTTTGCCCCCGGTGCCTCTTTGCAAAGTACCAGCCATGCCCGTACCCACCGCACAGGTTGGCTCTGAAGATGCTTTGTCGTGCGGACTAGCAGGTGGGTGTGTGGTGGGTGCTGGTTTCCGGCTGGGGGGAGTGTGTCTGTGGCAAGAGCCCGCAGCCTCTGCCCCCCCCACCTGCTCCCCCCCACCTGTTCTCAGGGTTCCCTTTCTCCGGCAACACAGGGAAATCTGGCTCCCTGGCCTGGGGCCCTGCGTCTCTCGAGCGGCGGCTCCCCGTCTTTCCCGCGGGGAATAATCGTCCTTCTTTTCTGCCCTCCTGTGTCTCTCATCTGCGTAGATTGAGCTCTTCGGGGCGAGGGCTGTCTCCCGCTGCGTCTGTGCAGCGCCCGGCGCGGTGGCGTCCCGCGCTCGCTCTGGGCCTCTCGATGCTCCCGGGACCAATAGCCCTGGTTGTAAAGGGTGTGTTCATTGTATTAAACAGACAGTTGTTTGTCGTGTGGGAGAAAAATCCCAGCCACATTCC